AAACCTGTTTACTTTTTTCCATAGCCACAAATTAATTTTAAAATTTGAATAAATAATTAACACGTATTAGAATGTCAAGAATTTCACATGTATCTAATTATTATTATTATCTATTTCTTTGTGTACTGTACACTCATCAAAAACATCAAGAATTATCGGATAAGAAAAACCGAAATTACAATTTTTTTAATTGGCCGGAAATTACTTAACAACTAACTTTTAAACTAATTGTTGTGAAAATTGACAATAAAACATGATTTGGACCTTCTGAGCATTTTTTTTTATGGCAAGAAAACATGTTTTTGCATTGGTTTTTAATGAAAAGTTCAAACAATTTTAAGTTCCAACCAACAAATGCACCTCAATTTGAGATCTACATTTATCCATTGATTCTTGATTCAGGTGCATGAGATCATGGCTGTGAACCATTATCTGATCAATCAACATGTTTGTTATGAAATCATTGGTAAACATTCAATGTGTTCTAATTTGTTAAGAACATGTACCTATGCAACTACGTGTTTATTTTTACGCCATATATCTTTCTTTTTTTTATGCTATGTGGTGGATATGTTTATTGTCATGTTATCCATGCTGCAATGTTAACATGTGTTCCTACGCCCATCATTGATTGTTGTTGCTGTCAATCAACGTGTTCGAAATTGTTATGTGTTTATTTTTACACCTTATGTCTTTCTTTTTTTTTTCACATGTGGATGCATTTATTGTCATGTCTACATTAACATATGTTTCTTGTGCTGCCATTCATTGAATTACGATTTGGTTAGTGAAGAAAGATTGTATAAAAAGGTTAAGTAAATGAGCTACTAGATGCAAAGAAAATATTTGATACTCACGAAACAATTTAAATCATTTAAAAAAAATAAAAAATAAAACTCATAAATAATTATGTCTTCCATCTTATCTACAATCGCATTTGTAAAGTCTGCGAGTGTATCTAATGTTTTGAATGGTGTGGCAACTTCAAGACTTGACAATGATGATTTTTTGGACTTTACATTCAGGGCCTTTAATTCCAACAAAGACATCATGATCCAGGATATACAGAAGGATTCTTTTATGATGTTTGTTGGAGGTGCTCGCATAATGTTCCTAAATAATAAATTGTTTGAACATGGAATATGTAATGGGACAATAGGAGTAATCACCAAGGTAATT